CACAGGGGGGGGGTTTTCCCCCTTTCAGCTTGTGTTTGGCGAAAATCCCCGTCTCCCGCGCAGTTTGCTTTCAGACGACGCTTGCGACGAGGTCGGTGTGGGTGATGTGGTCCGGGGGGCCGTGGACACCGACACACCAGCTGGGGCTTTCGCTCGCAAGCACGCTCTTCGGGAGGAAGCGAAGAAGGCCATCGTGTCCCTGGATGTTCGTGATCGTCTCGTCGCCGCTTCGAAGTCTCGTCGACACATCGATGTCGCCTATCCCCCTGGCAGCTGGGTGTACGTGTGGCGCCGAGTTTCAGCCAAGGACCGGTCGGCCGATCTGGGCCGGAGCCGGTGGACTGGACCGGGCGCCGTTGTTTTTCAGCAGGGCACGACCATTTGGGTCGCGATGCGGTCTCGACTTTTAAAGTGCGGGCAGGAACAGGTGCGCTGGGCTACGAAGGAGGAAGCCTGGGGGGCCGAGTTGCTGGACGTTCCATCCTTCGATGCTCTTCGTCGGGATCTCCAGAATCCCGGGAAACGCGTGGGGGCCGTCGACGTGGAAGCTGAGGGGCCCCCTCCCCCCGAGGCGTGGGATCTTGCGGGCCCCCCAGAAAGCTCGGGCGAGGCGTCAGCTGAGCGGATCCCGGGGCCCCAGGCTCCTCCCCCTCCTGATGGTCCAGGACCAGGCCCCGCGCCGGAGGCGCCAGGATCGGAGCAGCCACCAGTTCCAGTCGATCAGGCGTCGACCGAGGGTCCCATCACCGTCTCTGACCCTCACACCTCCGACCTTCAGGTTCCCTCTCCTCGCTCTTCCTCTCCCTCCAGGCAGGTTTCGGACCCCGCGTCTAGCCAGATTCGACCAAGGCGTGGAATCGAGAGCCCTGATGATCCGGGTGCCGATCCCGAGTTAGGACCTCCCCCTCTTCAACGCCCTCGCCTGGAGGAGCCCTCTTCCCCTGCGCTGGCGAGGCCTGTGCTCGCCCCAGTCGAGGATCTGCAGCCGGCTGGGGGCCGAGTGCGGACCATGATCCGCGAGCGGGAGGCCAAAGATCCCAGCGGCCGGACTCCCCGGCAGCTTCGCATGCTCGACGATGTTCCAGCGAGCATCCGTTTGACACGCTCAGGTGATGACGGCACAGCGGCCGCGTCATCTGCTTCTGCACCGCGAGCTCGGTCTCGCACCCCTGAGTCCAGGGAGGCTCCTGTGCTGGGGCACGGAGGTGAGCCTGTCACCGGCACGGCTGAGCAAGCTGTGCGCCTGGCCGGTTTGGAGCACGTTCCTCCGGGGGATCGTTTTCTGAGTTCTTGGGAGACTGGACTGGACGGGGAAGTTGAGTCTGGCTGCGACGAAGACGGTCAAGAGGAGCTGTGGGAGGAAGTCTGCAGTTGGTTTGGCTGGGAACCGTCCTTTTGGTCCCAGGGAGGGAGCGACTGTTTTCCCTCAACGGCCGGAGTTTCGAGCGGGGAAGCTCCACCGAGCCGGCGAGGGGCCGAAGTTTCCCTCAAGAGCCTCTCGCGTGCTGAGCGGGAGCTATTCGTTTTTTCGGATGCGAAGGAGTGGCGAGCCATTATAGAGTCCGGGGCCGTCCGAATCGTCCCGGCCCAGGAGGCCTCGCTGATCCGTCGCCGCTTCCCGGACCGAGTTTTGGGGTCCCGGATGGTCCGACGTTTCAAGCCCCAGGAGGGGCTCGGGGCCGAGCCCATTGCTAAATCAAGATGGTGCGTGCAGGGTCACCACGACCCGGACAGCGACGAGCTTCAAGTATACTCTCCGACGCCACAGGCGGAGAGTATCATGTTGACGCTCCAGGCTGTGTGCTCGCTCGGGTGGGAGTTGGAGGTGGCAGATGCCAAGAACGCGTTTTGTCAGTCTAACAAGCTGGCCCGCCCCCGCGGCCAGATCTATTGTGAGCCTTGCCAAGGTCTCTCGCTCAACCCTGGCGAGCTTATAGAACTCATTTCGCCGGTGTACGGCCTTAACGATGCCCCCCTGCTGTGGCATCGCACGATCACGCAGTGGTTGGCTGAGGACGGATTCGAGAAAAGCCTCCTCGAGCCCTGCCTCTGGGTCAAGCGCTCGTCCCAGGGCGAGCCTCGCGCTCTGTGTTTGATCGAGGTCGACGATCTGATCGTATCGGCTCATCCCTCGGAGAAGGCTGGTCTCAAGACCAGGCTGCAATCGCGTTTCAAGTTTGGCAAGTGGAAATCCGGGGAATCCGACTTTGCGGGTCGACACCTGCGACAAGCAGGCAATCGGATCTATATGGATCAAGAAAAATACGTTTTGGAACAGCTAGCTGCTATGCCGCTTGCTAAGGAGCGTCGAGCTGTACCTGATGACCCCCTCACGCCCAGTGAGATCAAAGCGTATCGTACTATGGTAGCCCAGATCCAATGGTTAGGGAGGGAGAGCAGGCCCGACGTGGCCGCGTGTGCGTCGCTCCAGAGTGCTGCTCTCCCCTCTCCCCTCGTGTCGGATGCGGTTCTGTGCATCAAGGCTGTCAAGCATCTCAAGAGCACCGCCAGTCAGAAGGTGGTAATTTGGCCCCTTGACCCCTCGAGCATGACTTTCGTCACGGTGTCCGATGCTGGAGGTCCCGGGCCCGCTAGGCGTAACGGGGCCCAGGGAGGGTGGATGGTGTTAGCTGCCGATTCGAGTATCCGGCAGAACTGCCGGGCGCGTGTGTCCCTTCTTGCTTGGAGGTCGACTCGTCTCAAGCGCGTTGTTGCGTCCACAGGAGCGGCCGAGACGTTAAGTCTCTCAGCGGCTCTCGCCGAGGCCCAATGGCTGTCCATCATGTGGCGTGATCTCATATTTAAGGACGTGGTGCGTCCAGACTGGCATCTGTCGCAAGCTCCTTTTTCTGTCGTGCTCAGCAGAGATTGCACTTTGTCTGATCAGGTTGACACGATTTCCGTCGTTGACGCGAAATCTATTTTTGACGCTCTTTCGAGGAACAGCGCGGGCAGCCGAGCTGACCGGAGGAACGCCATCGAGTTGGCAGTTGTGCGTGATAGCATGAGTGCGGTGGGGTCCCAGGTCCGCTGGGTTCCACATGGCCGCATGGCGGCGGATCCCTTGACGAAAGCCGACCCCGGTAGGTCGAACCTCGCCTTCCTTGATCTCCTCAGTAAAGGCACGATGGTTCTAGTAGACGAGGGGGGCCACCTATCAGAGAGGGCCCTCAACTCTCATCTTAAGTCCCGCTCCCGGCGCGCGTCGCGACAGGCCCTGATGGGCGACCCTCAGGCCGGGGAGGACTTCGAGCAGGCAAGGGAAGTCGGGAGGAGTGCAGGAGAGGATAAGGTTTCTTTCCCCATAGCAATTCCACGAAAAGTGGTCCCGTTGTGGTGTGTCTCCTCTTCCCTCCACCCCTCTTTGTAATTGCATGTGTTCCCGTATCAGCCTTTTAGGCTTAGTGCCCGCTTGCTGCGGGATGAGAGTGACTCCTCGGGCTCCCGAGGCGTAGCTACTGAAAACGGAGTGCCCCCCTCTCCCACCTTGTTGATTTCATGCCCGACGACTCCACTAACAGTTGCTATCTTCTTATGTTGATTAGCAACATCATCAAACACGCTGAGCATGGCAATGCAGGTCTCACCATTTCAGCTTTCGCAAGTCACGAGCGTGGGACAGGGCCATGGGATTCTCACCATTTTAGCTTTCCCAAGTCACGAACGTGCGGCAGGGCCATGTGATTTGTACTTTCTCAGCCTTTCCCGACTCAGGAACGTGTGGCAAGACGTATCTTGGCCAGAGCGCCAAGAACCCTTCCTGCGCAGGCTACCTTTAAGCGCGAGGCTCGAGGACACCAAGGACAGGTTTGTGCGAGGATCTAGTTACACGAGCGCCTAGCATCATCATAATCATCATAATCATCATCATCATCATCCTCATCCTCATTCTCATCCTCGTCATCATTATCATCCTCATCGTCATCATCATCATGATCATCATCACCATCACCATCACCATCACCATCACCATCACCATCATCCTCCGCTGGGAAAATCGTTTATGATTCCCCCCATACCCCGAACTTCAGTATCCCCAGGGGCTTCATATCACGGGTAAGCGGCTACTGAATACCATCAGCAGTGGGTCTTGCTGGCCGTTGGCGTTGTCCCGGCTCCTAGCGGCTACGAGAGCGCCGGCCACTCAAGGCAGCGGAGCGGTAAGTGGCGTGGGGGCTGTGAGTAGAGATGATCCCGAGAGCGACGGCGAACAAAAGATGGTATTCTTTGTTCCGAGACCCCGCTCTTCTTTTCAGAGCCCAAAGAGCATCCCCATGTATACGCAGCAGGCTTCGCACTTGGGCGGTCCACGGGGGAGCCGCCAGAGGTCGTTCAGTCGCCACAGGCTAACATTCTCTCGCCCAGACTCGCAGGCGGAAGTCTCAGGGACAGCGATGAACATTAGATTGGCCCTGGAATTGCAAACGGAGGTCTCCCCGTCATCTCTCAGGAGGGGGGGACCGCGCTCCTTGCAGCAAAAGATGTATGATTATTCCCCGCTTTGTGTTGTGGCCCCCAGCTGGCGTTTCAGCTGTTCTTGCCTGCTATGACTCGCGCGATGTCGGGCGATGCTGCTCCGGCGATCTCGGGCCGTTCAACCATCGTGTATTGTTGGCCCACCAGTTCTTGGGTGATTGATGGTTATTGAATTTTTCTTTGCGCGTCGAATATAGCGCTGGAGTTGTTCAATGCGGCGCCCGCCTCTTGGCTGGCAATAAACTCCAGGCGTGCCCCCGTTCGACCTGTCCTTCTCCTGCTCCTGCTCCTCCTCCCCCTCCTCTTCCTCTGGCGGCGACGGCGGCGGCGGCATCATTGTTAGCCGAGCACCGTTGGGCGTCGCAGTCTTTCCCTTTGCACCCGGAAGAATGGCATGATGTGCCCACAGCTATGGGGATGAGGGGTTATTGAGCATCTCTCGCGGCGAAGACCCCCGCCTACCCTCTGCGGAACGGTCCCGCTGCCCCCCCTGGCTTCCCCCGAGTGCTCGTGGCGGCGGGGAGGAGCTGTGCGCGAAGGGCGGCGCGGCCGCGTCCGCCGCCGAGGCGGCCGGCGCGGAGGGGGAGGGGGCGGTGTCGGGAGGGAGGAGGAGAAGGAGGCGGGGTGGACGCGGTGAAAGGAGGAGGCGGAGACGGCGGAGGAGGAGGAGAAGGAGGAGTGGATGGCAACTTCTGAAGGCATACGTGCCAATAGTTCGCAGATCGCAGGAGGAGGCGGAGGAAGAAGAGGAGGAGGAGGAGGGGGTAAGAGGCAGCAGGAGGAGGAGGAGGAGGAAGAGAAGGAGGAGGAGGAGGAGGAGGAGGAGGAGGAGGAGGAGTGGATGGCAACGTCTGAAGGTATACATGCCAATAGTTCGCAGATCGCAGGACGAGGAGGAGGAGGAGGAAGAAGAGGAAGAGGAGGAGTGGGTAAGAGGCAGAGGAGGAGGAGGAGGCGGAGAAGGAGGAGGAGGAGGAGGAGGAGAAGAAGGAGGAGGAGGAGGAGGAGGAGGAGGGGGAGGAGGAGGAGGAGGAGGAGGAGGAGGAGGAGGAGGAGGAGGAGGAGGTGGGTGAGTTGGGGGGCGGGGGGCCCCAGCCCCTCCTTCCTCCTCTTCCTCCTCGTCCTCCTCCTCCTCCTCCTCCTCCAGTCGCTGCTCCTCCTCATCCTCCTCCTGCTCGCGTCCTTGTCCCCTAGTGCGGGGGAGGAGTGTGGTGTCGGGGGGAGGGGAGGATTACCAAGCTCGCTGTAGGCTGAAAGGGTACCTGAACCCATCTTCAAGGCATGAGGCGGTCATCGGCGAAATACTCGAGACTGCTCGGCAGCTTGCGGAAATGCCCGTGTTGCCAGACCCTGGTAGTTGGACGACAATGGGAGGGGGAGAAGCATTTCACGGAGAGGTGGAGGAGGGGTTGGTGGGCGAGGAAGGGGTGAGTTGGGGAGGATAGGCTGGGGGGCCAAGAGGGGACTGAGGCGGAGGAGGAGTGGAGGGGGACGACCTGGGGGTGCGGGGACCCCCCCCCTCCTGCTCGCCCCTTCTCCCCAATGATGGTGGAGGATTGGAACAGGACGAGGATGTGAGGAGGCGGGTCTTCGGGAAGGAGCGGGCGGATCAGGCAGAGGCAGGTAGAGGGACGTGAGCAGGAGGGACGGTGACGCGGCATCCATTACGCGAAAGCTTCACTCCCTGATTTGACGTTCCATGGTCCTGCGAACCCTGCTGGCCCGGTTGGTGAGCTCGAGGAGTTGGTTCCCGCAGCCCCCCGCTTGAGGAGTTGGTTCCCGCTGTCCCCTCGCCTGGCCCCACCCCGGTCGAGACCCGGTGATTCTGGGGCCCGTTGGTGGCGCGCTATGTTCCCCATTTGCTTAGCCTCCAGGGACGCGCTGGGAGGATGATCATTTTCGTTTTGAAGGGCTAGCGCACCAGACACCCCACCCCCTCGCGATGTGATCAGAAAATGTTCAAAACGACAGCGTCGCTAGTAGCCCAGCAGTGGGCTCGGAGGCCGCGCAGACTCTTCGTGCGATGGTTCGTGAGGGGTGCGTCGGCGGCTGTGCTCGTCGGCGCACCCTGTGAGAGCGGGTGTGCGGCCAGAAAGTTGGCTTTGCGGAGCGGAGGTGCCCTTCCACTGTGCTAGCCTGTCTCCTTCGCGGGGCGTCCCCGAGACCTGTGAGTCGGTTCAGTCGCACCTCGCCAGTTGCATCCTCAGACCTTGTTTTGCCTACGGGCTGCGGGCATCCAGGAGCGCCCCGCCCCTCTCCCTGACCCCCTCCTCCCGAGTTCTTGATTTGTCTACGAAGTTTCGCACCTGAAGACCCTGCCTCAGGACAGAAACACGCTTGTCTTCGTTTGGGTTGATCAGTGTTGTTTCGAGGCACCATGTGTTGAACCCATTTTTTTCTTTGTAATTCGTCAGGCTCATTTCCGAGAAGCCTTTGCCCATGTGCCGAAAACAGGGTAGATGTTGTCATCTGCCAGGCTCTCACACGACCCTGGCGGGAAAAGGTCCCACAGGAGTATTAAGGACTGCGCCTGCCAGACAGTATCCGCCGCCACTCTGCCAGTTGTCAACCAAGGCCCTCCATCGCTATGCAAGCTTCGTGTCTCTGATTCCCACAGCGATCAGGCGCCGTTCTCCTTCGGCGTTGACGATGCCTTCGATGAAGGCCTTCGTTCATTCTACAACCCATTGGACCCCTACTCGACGGATGCAGCTGGGATTGTTGTGGTTCTCACTGCAGGCGGTAATTAGTGCTGCAACTTATTGTTGCTTCTTTTTTCAGTCAGGTGCCAGTCACCCCGCATGCCTCGCGCTCTCTGTGGTAGTTTCCTGTCCATTCCAGGAGGAGGATGGGGGGGGGGGGGGGGGGGGGGAGGGGAGGGGGAGGAGGAGGAGGGGGAGCAGCAGGAGGAGGAGGAGGAGGAGGAGGAGGAGGTGGGGGAGGGGAAGTGCGAGGAGGAGGGAGAGGAGGAGGGGAAGGGCGAGGAGGACGAGGCGGAGGGAGGAGGGCGAGGAGGAGGACCAGGACTCGCGGAGGCAGCAGCAGCGCCGCTGCCTGGCCGTCGGCGGCGGGCCTCCTGGCCGGGTGGACCCCGCCCGAGAGGCGGCCGGGCTGGAGAACAGCGCCGCGCAGCACAGGATCCTGTCCGGCGTGGAGGCCGCGGTGGAGGACCTCAGGCGCGAGGTGAGGTCCCTGCAGGACCCCTCTCGGCTTCCCGTGCTCCTCTCGGGGGTGGACAGAACCCCCAACAGTGACACGTCGATTAGTGAATTGTCCGTTTTCGGTTTTCGAGAGGGCGCCGTGGCCGTTATTTTCCAGGCTTGCGCCCGCCAGGTTTGGGCCTCAGGTCGTTTTCACTAAACCACGTTTTGCTAAAGGGAGGTCTGTCCATCCCCGATCCTCCACCACCTCTCAGGAGGGAAAAAGACACACAGACACACTGAATCGTCGATCCCCCCGAAAATATGGGGGGCAAGATGGGAAATTGGGGGGAAGACGGAAACCCCGAACATGTGGGAACATCTGGGGAATCCTGTTACCTGTGATTATTCATTTGTGTGGCCCAGGGCCCCATTAACCACCCGGCATCCACATCAGAGGGGGAACACATACCGATGCTGCTCCTCCTCAGCCTCGAGATGCCCTCCGGCGGCTGCGCCCCGCAGGGAGCGTTCCCAGGGTGCCCAGACTGTCCCGAACGGCCACCGGGCGAAAGCCACCAGGCGGGGCCCCTTGCCGCGACCCTTCCCTCGAGGAGATGGTCGCCAGGGATGGCCTGTCCTGGACATTCTGGCCCGAGCGCACCCCGGGAGAGGGTGCGGCGATAGCCCAGGTCTATTTCGGGGGTGGACAGACCTCCTACCATGACACGTCGATTAAGGAATTGGCCGTTTTCGGTTCGCGAGAGGGCGTCGCGGCCGTTATTTTTGCGGGTCCAGGTCCGTCGGTTTGGGTCCCAGATCGTTTTCATTAATGGGAGGTTTACTAAATCGGGGGAGCGTAAGACCCGGGTTTGCCAGGACTCGGGTTCGCCATCGTTTTTTGACGACCGCGCCTCGGATTTTGACGAGGAGGAGTTTCGTGGGATGTCTGCAGCGGGAGGCCTCGTCAAAATGCAGGCTCGGCCTCGTCATTTTTTGACGATCTCGTCGGGGATTTCCGAGTCCCCTGTACCCAGGTCTTACGTCCCCCTGACTAAAGGGAGGTTTGTCCACAGCCGACTATTGGGGCCGCCTGCCTCTTCCCCCCGGGATAGGCTGACCTTGTAAGCTGCACGGGTCCGACGGGGGCACGCAGTACAGGTGTGCGCGGGCACGCGGGGCTGCCCAAGGCGAAAAGGTTTGGTTTTCGGCCAGCCCCTCCCCCCCCCCGCCAGCAATCATTGGCATGCACCAGTGGAGGTGCGAGGCAAGCAAAACACACAGCGTAAGAAGGATGGAGAGTGGACGTGGCGCAGCCAGCGACTGTCATCCTGCACATCATCCTCGACCTCCTGACCTGAGCCTCTTTCCGGACCCTCCCTGGCCCTTTCTGGGCGCGGATGCCTGGGCCCGAAACTCCTTTCTGCTCCTATTGCTCCTCCTCGAAATGAAAAATCATCAACGTCCCCCTCTGCCGCCCTCGCACAGCTTATAGGGCCGTTCGATCATTCGCTCCCGTGTGCCAGCACGACTGTGTATCCTCCTGCTCTGCCCGATGCCTGTGGCCATTTGGGCTCAGGCACTCAACCAATTTTGAACAACCCTCCCACCACCTTAAAGCATCAAGCCCCTCTCAGTGGCTCGGGCCCCTGCGCAACAGGGCCCCCGTGGCCGCCACCCGTAGAAAAGGGGCATCAGCGTCACCCCTTTTTGTTACCGCCCTCGCACAGCTTGTCGGGCCATTCGAGGATACGGATACGCTGCTTGCGCGATTGAAATCAGAATCGGTGCCGGTATATCCGTGGTCGAATTCCTCAGGCACAGTCCAGCTTCATCTTCATCCGATTCCATTCGTCAGAAAGTCAGGCTGAATCCTGAACTCAATTCGGGTCGACCAGGTTGAATGGCCTCCTTAAAGCTCGCCGGCCCAACGGGTCAGAGGCGTGCCAAGATCTCTGGTAACTGGTAAACTGTAGTTCTACTTCGCGCGCGCGAGGCGGCCCCTGGGGGTCCCCGGACGAAAAGTACCCCGGGACGGTCGGGTCAGAGATTTGTTTCCGCCTGGGCGCGGCTTTCAGGCGCCCCAGAGCGCTCCAAGAGGGCTTCAAGATATCCTCAAGATGTCGCCGAGTCGCTTCCCGATCGGTCCAAGACGCCCAAGAGCCCAAGATGGCCTCCACATGGCCGCAGACGCCTCCACGACGCCCACAGAGGCCTCCAAGAAGCGTCTCAAGAGGGCCCTAGGAAGCACAAATCGCTGGCTTCCCTTAGGTGTTTGACGGATTGTGGTGTTCTCACCTGTTCGGCTTCCCGGCGCTCGAAGACGGCCCCAGAGGCTCCAAATATCGCCCCAAGACAGCCCAAGAGGCCTCCAAGAGGGCCCCAGAACGGCCCTCGAGGGCCCCAAGACGGCCCAAGAGGCTTCCAAGACGGCCAAAGATGGCCCCAGGACGGTCCATATGGCGGTCCCAGACGCAGAACCCTCGGCCCCAAGCTACACCCAGGACGCCCCAAGAGCTCCCCAAAAGGCTCCAAGAGGTCCCCAAGATACCTCAAGAGAGCCCCCAAGATGCCCAAGAAGAGGCCCCCAGGGCCCCCGAACGGCCCTCAAGAGACCTCAAGAGGCTCCAAAACGGCATCCAAGAACCACTCGAAACGCCTGCCAAGAGACCCCAGCAGCGCCGCATTGACAACGATCCCTCGGCCAAACGGCAAAGATGAGGCTGCATGGGCCGGCGGAATACCTTTTTACATCCTTGTTCCGAAGACCTTCCTGGGGGCGGGGGCTGCGGACATCTCGGCGGAGCCCCGAACATCGATCCCCCAGGCGGTGGTCATGACCGCTTCGCAGGCGTCTCATCCTGGGCAGCCTGCGTTGACGGCCCAGGGGCCCAGCCCTGGAGCCCTCCGAGGCCGGAGCTTGCCAAGATCTTGCCGCGATGGCTTTTTCACGACGCGCGCTCGAACGTGGACCCCTGGAGGTCTGGGCCCCTTCCCCGGGGCAAGCTCCGCATCCCGAGCCGTGCTGTTGCCGGCCCCGCCGGTCTGTGGAGGGCGGGGCCTGGCCGTGAAGCCCTCCGATAAGCCGAAGACTTCCAGGGCACCTTCAGCGGTATTGGGCTGGCCTCCGGCCAGTGCCGCCGATCCGGTCCCCGGGTACCGAAAAACGTCGGAAGTGACGTCGGAAATAACGTACGCCCCCCCCCCCCTGCAGAGCGAAGCTTGAGCGAGCTCAAGTCCACGCTCTCAGAAACTCACACGCCGGATCGGCGGATTTCCCTCCAGCGTGCCCGCAAGGATTCTCGACCACTGTTCTGCGACACCAGTGCAGGCGGACTGCCAGATCCAGGGTCGGTCGGGCGACGTGCTCTCCCGTGACCTCCCGTGGCCTCACGTTGCTTCGCGCGGCCCTGTCCCCATGGCCCTATCCCCCTGTCCCGATCCCCCCGCGTCGCGCCCCATCGCGACCCACCATCGTGACCCCCCATGGTGGCCCCCAGGCGGCGGCGCCGCCGCCGCCGTCCTCATGGCGTTCTCCTCCTCCTCCTCCTCCTCCTCCTCCTCCTGCTCCTCCCTCCTCCCTCCTCCCTCCCCCTCCTCCTCCTCCTCACGGCGTTCTCCTCCCCTATCCTCCTCCCTCCTCCTCCCTGCTCCTCCTCCTCCTCCTCCTCCTCCTCCTCCTCCTCCTCCTCCTCCTCCTCCTCCTCCTTCGGCATCGCGTGCAGCTGTCTGGGGCACTCTGCCGCCAGAGCCGAATGTTCTGCACGCCGCCGGGAGGGCCCGGGGTCCTCGCAGTCTGCGACGAGGGGCGGCGGCGGCGCCCACTCGGACCTCCCCCGGGGCCGCGCTCCGGCCAGAGCCCCCGAGCGGATGCAGCCGTGACCACCAAGGCGCCGCGGGAGGAGGCCCAGAAGGGGCCAGAGCCACGACCCTCGGAGCCCTCGACCCATCGATCCTCAGTGCGAGCAGCACTTCTGTCCATATCCACTGCAGTATGGAGTCTCGGGCTCCCTTACCCAGAAGCCCGAGGCGCACTGGATGTGGATAAATTTGCCCCCTAGAGGCTAGATTTCTATCCATGTCCAGTGCACCTCGGCCTTGTGGCGCCCCTTCCAAAAAACCAAAGGCGCACTGGATATGAATCTTGCCCGCACTCAGACCTCCGATGCCTTGATCTTGTCCCTGCGGGGTCCCGGTCCCCAGTGCTCTGGACCACTTCCCGGGGACTGGCTGACGGAGATCGTTTCTAGATGGTCCCGTGGTCCGGCGAGGGCCCCCCGAACGCCGAAACTTACGAACAAAGTGTCCGTCTTGATTTTGTTCAGTACGTTTCAGGAGGGGGAACACACACACAGACAGGCACAAGTCATCGTCGACCCCCAGGAAAGTACAGGAAGATATGGGAAGTGGGGGGGGGACGAAAACCCAGAAAATATTGGAACACATGGGGAATCCTGGGATTTGTGCCTATTCCTTTAATCGCTTCGCTCATTCCGCCGGCCCATATTGCCTCGCCGCTTGGGGGCCGTGTTGGGGCCTTTGGGGGTCATCCGGGATGCAGGCTTGAGGCGTCTGGGGGGCCGTGTTGGGGCCTCTTGGGGCCTCTTGGGGGCCTTTTGGGGCTTCTTGTGGTGCCTCTTGGTGGCCCCTTGGGGCCTCTGGGGGGCCTCTTGGGGCCTCCTGGGGGCCTCTTGGGGCTGAAGGCTGGGCTTTTCAGTTCCTGGTCCCCGTCTTGGGCTCCTCTTGGGGCCGTCATGGGGCCCTCTTGAGCCATCTTGGGATCCTCTTGGGCTGTCTTGGGCCGTCTCGGGGCGGTCTTGGGGGCCTCATAGGCCGTGTTGGAGCATTGGAAAGCCGAAAAGGAGAGAAACGTCGCACATGCGAACAAATCGCGCTTTCCGGAGGGAATGGGAGGATTTTTGCGTGTTGGGGCCTTCTCGGGGAGCCTCTTGAGGTTCTCCTGGATTTCGGCGTCTCGGGGCCTCTTGGGCCGTGTAGGGGGCGTCCCGGCGCCCTCTTGGCGCGCTCCTGGGGCGCCCTGGGGAGTCGGCCGGGCATCGCCCGGGGTATTTCTCGTCCAGGGGTCACCAGGGGCCGCCACGCGCGCGCGAATTAGAAATACTGCTAACCTGTTACCGGAGATCTGAGCTCAGGAGGAAAAGAAACACACGGACACAATTAATCGTCGACTCCCAGGAAAATATGGGAACATTTCGGAAGTGGGTAGGAAGACGGAAACCCAGGAAATGTGGAAATGATGGAAAATACTATTATCTGTGTCCATTTATTTGCGTGTCCCTGGGTCTCTTCATCAGCACGCCTCTGGCTCGTTGAGCCCGCGAATTTGCGCGTCCCTGGGTGGTTCCTTTCACGCTGGAGGCCTGGGCCCTCGCAGCCCTCGAAGCCGCGGCGGGCGGGCGGTGCCCCCAGCGGCCCCAGAGAGCCGCGGCGAGGAGGCGGGCGACCAGCAGGGCCGGCTGGCGGAGGCCATCTCCGGGCGCCACGGGAAGCTGGCAGACGCCGCGGCCGAGGCCCGCCCGGGCCGCCCTCCTCTGAGGAGGAGGAAAAATTGCCATACCTGTACCCTTCCCTCGGTTTTCCCCGTTTTGGGCCTCCTGGGCGGCCCTCGTCGCCACCGCTGATTTCGCCTCGAAATCCTAGTCAGAACGCACCCCGGGAGAGGTCGGGGGAGTAGCGGTATCGGTACCTTCTGCTTCCCCACCTCATCATCATCATCAGCATCATCAACGTCAGTGAGGACGTCTCAGGCGAAACGCCCGGTCCGCCCTACCGAGACTTCTGGGGGTGCGACAGGGAGGAGGTGTTTCCGGTTGGGGGGGCTGGTGGATTAGGGGCCAGGAGGGGGACTCGGAGGGTCTGTCTGGAGGTTTCGTGAGAAGAGGGGAGGGATGGGCAGGAGGCGTCTCTGTCGAGGCCTTTATGGGTGTCGCTCCACAGCGTGCTAGAATTAAGTCGGGCACGTCCCTCTACATGAGGATTATTCACAAATAGTGAAAAGATAATATGGATACGAGTTGTGGCTGTTTTAGATCATTCCCCATATCCAAATGATGGGGTTCTTGTAATTCCCCATATCCAAAGGATGGGGTTCTTATTATTCTCTGACCGCGCCGGACCGCTCATCATCATCCCTCCCCTCCCTCCTCCCGCCTCCGCTTCCGCCTCTGGGATGAAAGCCGCGTGCGACTCCCGCGCCTTCACGATGAACCCTGCATCCTCCTAGGATCAAGTAGAAAGCGATGGAGGATGAGGGGGGGAGGGGGGGAGGAGGGAAGGGAACCAGACCTGAGGGCACAAACACCAGGGACACCGACCACCAGCACACACACACACACACACATACACACTTTGAACATGGAAGCGTAAACGAGCCGAGCCCGACAACATATCAATGAAGAGATGGGACTGCAATGTGGCACCATGGACAAACACGAGCATACACGATGTGAATGGTGGTCCGAAAGGGAGCAGGGCGGGGCGGGTAGCGGGAGAGGGGAGAGGGGGAGGAGGAGGGGACGGAGGGAGCGGGAATGGGGAGGGTGAGGGGGAGGGGAGCGGGAAGGGGGAGGGGGAGGGGGAGGGGACGGAAGGTAGCGGGAAGGATGGATGGCGAGGCAGGAACACCGACAATCACCACCGATGGGCACAAGAGGGGAGACATGTTCAGGTATAAGCACACATACACATTCAACGGCTTCCGCAGAACACGCAATACGGAAGACAGCCCTGGCTGGAAGGACGTGGGGGCGGCGTGACCTGCGTCAGTAGGCGCAGGTCTGGCACATGACGGAACAATATAACCGTCTGCCGCCCCTGCGACGTCACGTAGGATCGCCGCCAGGCACAAGGGGTGCAGCCACACGAGGCACAAATTGATGCGGGAAACCGTTGACCACCAGTGGGAAGGTTCCGAACACGCACACACACACACACACCACCGAGACCACTCCGCGTCAAGCCGACCCCACACCTCGACAGATTAATGATCTGTGTATGGTGCCCACGGTACCACTCCATCCTCCCTCGTCCCTCCTCCACCCAAACTCCTCCCCCCCTTACGTCTACTCCGTCGTCCGAACTCGTCCTGCTGCCCTCGGAGGCCAGAATGGAGGGTGCGGCGCATCGTGAAGAACTTCCAGTCCCTTGGCCGCACGAGCACATGGTCGAGCGGGTGGGCGGTGCGATGACGCAGGTGCCACCAAGTGGCCGGTTGCGACTGTTGGCGCATGCTACTGAGGATACATAAAGGCACTGATCGGCACGCCCGCTGTCCGTGCGGCGCGGAGAAGCATGAAGACCCAACACAGCCCGCTCCTTGTCATCCTGGGGGCGGCCGACTTCTGCATTGAGGTCGCCTCCGACTATCAACATCTGATCCGCGCCCCAGAGAAGGGCCTCCACGAAGCGCAGGTCTTCATGGGATCGGTCCCTGGCAGCGACGGCAGCAGGCTTCGTCCCCGAGACTGGGTCGTAACACGCCAGCATAGATACGCCTCTGCGTCGTCCCTCCCGGGGAATCACCACACCCATCACACGGATGCCAGCTCTACCTTCCCTGCCCCGAACAACGACCTTCGATCCCGAATTCTTCCATGCCTCAGACAAGTTATTTCCTAGAGCTACACAGACCTTCCCCCTAATGATAAAAGTCCACCTCTTTCAGGACTCGTTGCCCCACTCCGTCCCCAGCTTTCGCGTGTTCCAAGCGCCACCCCAGAAAAACCAGGCTGCGTGCGCCTTTCGGCGACGGTTTTCCCGCCGGGGCATGGCAAGTTCATGCATGGCACGGCACTGCTTGGCACGGGAAGCCTTCTTTTTCTTGATTAGCTTGTGTGCTCGGATCCTGACGGCACGTCTCTGGCACCGAGTTGTACCTGAAGGAAACGTAGGGCCATCTTCCAACACAAACGCCTCTGCACCTTCCACATGCTGCACCAACACGGACGCGCGTTGGCCAGACGAGTCGCCGGTCTGCCCCCCGGGACCCGCGACTGACGCTGACGCACCAGCCGGAGCTGACGCCCACGCGGAGGAGAGAGCCGAAGCCCCAACCGCCTCCACGGCGTAACGGTCCCGGGGAGGGTGTGCACTCCCGCCCCCAAACCTTCCAGACGACACAGGGGATGTCCGGCCCGCGCACATCCAAGAGAAGCCAGCCACAGCAGCAATCGACCACACCCTTCTCTGCGCTGGATGATGATGATGAGTGTCATGATGATGGCCATGGTAGTGTGAGAGCATGATGCGATTGTGAATGACAAATGAGTACGATGATGCTGATACTGATACGGATAATGATGATGATGATGATGATGATGATGATGATGATGATGATGATGATGATGATCATGATGATGTTGTTGATGATGATGATGATGATGACACCGACGACGACGACGATAATACTAATGATGATGATGATGATGATGATGATGATGATGATGGTGGTGGTGATGATGATGACGATGATGATGACGATGAGCAGATGATGAGGATGTCTCGAGCGGCTTGCTAGTTTTAGCATTCCTAGAGGGGCGCCAGGGGTATCTCACGGCCTCCCTTCGCGCCAGGATAGCTGGGATGTCTCGAGAGGTTTGCCTATTTGGACGCGAACATCCTTCGGTTTCGGAGCAGATTTTGAGGATGTCTCGTGCGAGGCGCCTCCTAAGGGAGGGCCGCCAGGAGTATCTTACGGCCTCCGTTCGCGCCCAGATTGCGGGGATCTCTCAGGCGGTTTGGTTGTTTTGGTCGCGGGCATGCGTCGTTTTCGGAGCAGAGTTGGAGGATGTTTCGAGCGAGGCGCTCATTGTCGCCCCCCAGGGGGGCAGATTTTGAGGCTGTCTCGATCGGTTTGCTTGTTTGGGTGGCCAGACTCGTGGGCACATATTCTCCCCAGGATGCCACAGGAGGCTCCAGCAGGCTCCAGAAGGCCCCAGGAAGCCACAAGAGGTCCCAGGAGGCATCAGGAGGCCACAGGAAGACTCAAGAGGCCACAGGATGTCCCAAGAGGCTCCAGGAGCCCCAGGAAGCTCCAGGAGGCCTCAGGAGGCCCCAGACGGCAACGGGAGGCCCCGAGAGGCCCCAGGAGCAGGAGGCCTCAGAAGGAAACAGCAGTGGTTCCAATCCAATGTGTTTTACGTGTGCTCCTACAGATTGGGCCTCACTTGGAGCACGAACATTTGATGTTATACGGTTGCTTCTACATATTGTTTTTCTCTTCTCTTGTAAAAGCAATCCTAAATGGTTTACGTATGTTCCGAAATGTTGGGCCTCCCATGGGGCACGAGTCCTTGGTGGTTTACGTGTTTTTCTATAGATTGCCCTTCTCATGCGGCTCCGATCCGCAATGTTTATGTACGTCTGTTCCTATATATGAGGCCTCTCCTGGGGCACGATTCCTCCCTAGGAGGGCCCAGGAGGCTCCAGGAGGCCCCAGGAGGTCACGCGAGGCTCCAGGAGGCCACGCGAGGCTCCAGGAGGCCTCAGGAGACCACTCGAAGCCCCAGGAGGTTCCAAGAGTCTCCTGGAAGCCCCAGGAAGCCCCAGGAGGTTTCAGGAGGCCCCAGGAGGCCCCAGACTCATGCGCAGAGACGCGCTCGTACTATTGAGACTCATTCACACTTCAAGCCCGATTATATTGGAAAACTCTTGTTCCTAGACGCTCACGGCGGACATGTCCACGCGAATATACTCACATATAAGGAGCTCCACACAGTGAACAATTACTTGACCGCGCCGGGCCCCTCATCATCATCCCTCCCCACCCTCCTCTCTGCACTAGACGATGATAATGAGTGTCATGATCATGACCATGGTATGGTGAGAGCATGATGCGAGTATGATGGTGATGGTGAATGATGGATGAGTATGATGGTGATGCTGCTGCTGTTGCTGTTGCTGCTGCTGTTGCTGATGGTGATGCTGATGATGATGATGATGATGATGATGATGATGATGCTGCTGATGCTGATGATGATGATGATGATGATGATGATGATGATGATGATGATGATGATGATGAGCAGATGATGAGCAGATGATGAGCAGATGATGAGCAGATGATGAGGATGATGAGGATGTCTCGAGCGGCTTGCTGGTTTTAGCACTCCTAAGGGGGGGCGTCAGGGGGTATCTCACGGCCTCCCTTCGCGCCCAGATTGCGGGGATGTCTCAGGCGGTTTGCATGTTTTGGTCGCGAGCATCCTTCGTTCTCGGAGCAGACTTTGAGGATGTCTCGAGCGAGGCGCGTCCTAAAGGAGGGCCGCCAGGAGTATCTCACGGCCTCCATTCGCGCCCAGGTTGCGGGGATGTCTCAGACGGTTTGCCTGTTTTGGCCGCGGACATCCTTTTTGTTTTCCGAGCAGATTCTGAGGATGTCTCGTGCGAGGCGCTGGTTACCGCACCCCAGGTGGCCGAGATTACGAGGATGTCTCGTGTTGGTGGCCAGACTCGTGTGCGCGCAGAGCAGATTCCGATGATGCTTCGGGCGGCTTGCTTGTTTTAGCACTCC